TCGGAAAACTTCAGGTTCTACCGGCATTACCATGCGGCATTTTGATTGGTTAATGGAATTCTTGACCCATCGGGTCAAAGGACACATGCTAATGTTTCACAAACATCATGGCGGGTCTGTTTTTTTTTTACCGAAGCGATCAGGTGATCAAAAATAATCGCTCCCGATAAAAATAAGTCTGATTTTACTTACATTTCATATAAAAAAAAAAAGTAAAATTTGTTGAGGAATTATTGCTATAACTGGTGTATAACATGGCCAAGTAAGTTATGTCACGTCGTAACTTTGATGATCGTTTTGAAGCTTTATTTGTTCGCTCATTACTGTAATTGTAAACGTTTTAGAAGTTGATGGTACGAATAATAAATTACAACAATACGTCAATTAATTACGTGATCGATTTTTTGAAGGAAAATGTTTTTGGAGTGAATAAAATTATGAGATTCGTGAACATAAATCTGGCTTAACGTTTTGAATGCGTTTCCTTCAACGTTTTACAAAACAATTAAATTGCAACAATAATGTATTTGTGTTTGTTTTTAGTCTGCAGCATTTGTATTTCGAGAATGTTTCAAACTCTTCTAAATTGTGAAACATAATGTGTTGATTCCATTAAAAAAAATATTTGCCTTGTGACTGAGCTCACTAATATTCATAATTGTAAATAAGTTCTGTTAATCAATGAAGGAAATATATGTAAATGATATGCAAATTATTATGCAAATTAGCCCCGGCGCTATGCATTTTTTCTGGGGAGAACCCTGGAACAGAAACAATTTTTTTGTTGGGAGTTGACAATTCTTCGGGCAAACAGAAATTGTTACAATAAAATTGCATACAGGTAACTACAGTGTAACCTGCTTATGTTCCTGAAACACAATAGGCAGTCACAGTTACCACATCTTCAGATGATGAAAGTTACAATTTACAAGTGATATCACATCATCGTTATGTGCTGAAATCAACATACGTTGTCCTGGAGAAATTGCTATTACTCACGGCTGATTCTTTATTTTCTTCTTGGTAGTTCTTTGGTACCCAGGTTTGTTCAACCCAGTCATCGGCTATGGCTTTATCATTTGTTATTATAAAATTATCAAATATGATACCATCAGACATGGACCACAGTTCAAGACCAACAGCACTCTGAGAAAAAAAAAATAATGAAGCAGATTTTAACTTGTATTCATGTGATACCATACTTTCAAAAGACAATACAGTAGAACGTTGATTATCCGAACTGTTGGGGGGACATGCTTTTTGTTCGGTTATGCAAACAGTTCGGATATGCGATCTTGTGTGGGCGTGCTCAAGTTTACAGGCTCACGACACACAAATTCTAACGCACATGACTGTAATGAAATCAAACAATAATACATGTAGAGTACGTCATTAAAAACATTTTTATTTAATCAGTAATACATTGTAATAAAAATGTTGCATGCTGGAATGTTAAAAAGTGTTTCAAAATGTCCGTAAAATGTAGCGATAATAAAGTTCTTGGGGAAAACCAAGTCCCGGAACCAAGTGAAGACGGATTTCTCTGAACGATCGTCATAGGCTGTTTTCGTTATCTTTCGTTTCAGTCCTGCACTTGAATCCATTTTACTGAAAAAATCCAGCAGCTTTTGTTTTGCCTTGATATCGGATATCATCGATTTACCAACACCATACTCGGTAGATAGATTGCTTGCGGTTTCGCCATGTTCTAGTCGATTTATAATTGACAACTTTGCGTCCAAATCAAGCACACCGCGTTTGCATTTCACTGGGGGTAGCCACACCAACGCTAGATAAAAAATGCTGATAAAGTAAACAGGTGAAAGGTCGCTTCGTATTCGCTGTGTATAGATCGGCTAGCGGCTCGATGTTACCAGATTGCTTGGGGATTTTCGAATGGTAAACTGCTATAAGATGTCCCGATTTTATTGGATTCGGCAAAGTTTTTAACACCTAG